AAGGGAGATCTCCAGCGTCCTCTTTCGAATTTCTGGACTCAGTGACTACTGCAGCTAGCCCCTGTCTGGACTTCCTAATCCTATGAGCCAAATAATCCTTTTTCTTTTTTTTTTTTTTTTTAATTTTTTTTTTAATGGTTTTATTTATTTCTAGGAGAGAGAGAGAGACAGCGTGAGCAGGGGAGGGTCAGAGAGAGAGGGAGTCACAGACTGAAACAGGCTCCAGGCTCCAAGCTGGCTGTCAGCACAGAGCCCGACGCGGGGCTCGAACCCACGAACCGCGAGATCATGACCTAAGCGAAAGTCGGACGCTTAACCGACTAAGCCACCCAGGCGCCCCCAAATAATCCTTTTTCACCTATCACTGATGGAGATGGGTTTCTGGCTCTCGCAACCAAAACAAGTCCTCATTAGACAGAAATTTAAAAGGCTAAATGGCCAGACCATTGATTTATTAATTATTAACCATAGAGTGATTTATTAAATGTGGAGAAGGAGGGTGAGTGGAGTCAGTGGTGACCCCCAGATTTCTGTCTTGGATGGTAGGGAAGGTCATGGTACCCGAGGAGGGAGGAGTCAGAAGGAGAAGAGGATCGGGGAGGGGGAACTTAATTCAGGTCACCATGGGGTGACCATGGATCACTCAGAGACAGACACCAGGAGACTGGGGAAAGATGAGTCTGGAACACCACCTCCACGGGGGACCCCCCCATTCCTGGAACCAAATACACTTGTACTTTATTTCCACTTGTTTCTCTGTGGAAAGCAAACCTTGTTCTGACCCTGGAATCCTAAAGGCAACTCCATCACCCCCACTGGGTCATGTGTGGCTGAGGTAGGAGATGTGACCCAGGAAGGAACTGAGGAGGAAGAACAGGGTTTGGGGCTAGCAGGAGGTAAGATCTGAAACACTGAAATAAACTCATCACTTGCAAGGATGTAATGAGATAGACCCCCTCATAGCCTGATGAGAAAAGTATAAATTGGCATCACCTTTCTGGAAAGTATATTGGATATAGATATAGATAGATCCAGATCTAGAGCAAGAGTTTTGAAAGCACCCTTTTTTTGACCGAGAAATTCCATTTCTATGAGTCTATTCTCAGTAAACCAGCCTTCAATTCGGGACAGTGTAGTTTAGTAAAGGCAAATTTGCCTCTATTCATGTAGAAATGCATCTTGGATTAGAGACGTTCAGCCACTGCCCCAAGGACTTCTCTTATTTTTTTAAAAATAACTTTTAGCATTGGGGCGCCTGGGTGGCTTAGTCGGTTAAGCGTCCGACTTTCGCTTAGGTCATGATCTTGCGGTTCGTGGGTTCGAGCTCTGCATCGGGCTCTGTGCTGACTGCGAGCTCAGAGCTTGGAGCCTGTTTCAGAGTCTGTGTCTCCCTCTCTCTCTGACCCTCCCCTGCTCACGCTGTCTCTCTCCCTCTCCTAGAAATAAACAAAAATATTAAAAAAAAAAAAACTTTTAGCATTTATTCAGTTTTGAGAGACAGAGAATGAGTGGGGAAGGGGCAGAGAGAGAGGGAGACACAGAATCTGAAACAGGCTCTGAGCCATCAGCACAGAGCCTGATGTGGGGCTCGAACCCACAAACTGTGAGATCATGGCCTGAGCTGAAGCCGGATGCTTAACCGACTGAGCCACCCAGGTGCTCCCCCTCCCCCCCAAGGACTTCTCTTAAAGCAGGTAAGACAAATATTCTTCTATTCTAGGTTTTCTCAACCTTGGCACCTTTGACATTTTGAGAAGAATAATTCTCTGTTGTGGGGGCTGTCCCTGTGCATTGAGAGCATTTAGCAGCATCCCTGACCTCTGCTAGATAACAGTAGCACCTCCACACTGGAGATGAGATACCAAACCTGCCTTCAGACATTGACAAATGTTCTGGGGTTTGGGGCGCCTGGGTGCATGCCTCAGTTGAGCATCTGACTCTTGATTTCAGCTCAAGTCATGATCTCACAGTCTGTGGGATCAAGCCCCACATCAGGCCCTGAGCTGGCAGTGCAGAGCCTGCTTAGGATTCTCTCCCTCTCTCTCTCTGCCCCTCCCCCAATTTCACACCCACTCTCACTCTCTCTCAAAAATAAATAAGTAAACATTCTAAAAATAAATAAATAAAATGCAAGATGGAACATTTCTTTAAGTTAGAGACTACAAAGAGGTAGAACGTGAGCTAACTCCAGCCAGCAGAAGTTTCCCCGCAAATTCGGAATAGAAGGGAGCTTCCTTAACTTGATAAAGAGAATTTATAGGGGGCCCTGGCTGACTTAGTCAGTAGAGCATGCAATTCTTGAGTTCAAACCCTGCATTGGGGCTTACTTAATAGATAGATGGGTAGATAGGTAGATAGAAAGATGAAGCTTTTTAAAATGAGAAAATTTATAAAAACCTGCAGCTAATATCTTACTTAACAGGGAAAGATTAAATACCTTCCCCTACAATTGGGAATTAGGTGAGAATGTCCACTCAGACCATTTCCAGTTAACATAGTTTTGGAATTCTGAGCCATAGTAATAAGTCAAGAAAAAGAAATAAAAAGCATACAGAATTGAAAAGAAGAAAGGCAACTTTCCCTACTTGCAAATACCATGATTGCCTACATAGAAAATCCCAAGGACTCTATGAAAAACCTTTTGGAAATAATAAGTGAATTCAGCAAAGTCACAGGATACAAGATCAACACACAAAAAGATCAATACACTGACAATGAAAGCATGGAAACCAAAATTAAAATACTATTTATAACCACTGCAAACAAAATAAAATACTTAGGCATAAACTGAACACATATACAGGATCTATATGCTGAAATTTATGAAATGATGATAAAGAAATCAATAAGGCCCTATATAAATAGAGAAGCACTGTGTGTGTTCACAGACTGGAAGATTCATCAGAGTAAAGATATCAATTTCTCCAGTATATCTATAGGTTTAATGTAATCCATATCAAAATCCCAGTAAGGTATTCTTAGACCTAGACAACCTTATTCTAAAATTTATATGGAAAGCTTTGAGCTTGAATAGCTAAAACAGTCTTGAAAAATAGTGAAGTGGAACAGGACTTATTATATAGCAGCAGTAATCAAGACAGTGTAGTATCAGCAGAAGAGTAGACATGGAGATCAATGGAATAGAAAAGAGGGCCCAGAAATAGACCCCCACAAATATAACCAACTGGTTTTTGACAAAGCTGCAAAAGCAGTTTAATGGACAAAAAAAAGTGTTTTCAACACATGGTCCCGGAGAGACGGACATTCATGGGCAAAACAAAACAGAACAAAAACAGAAAATGAACTTCAACCTAAATCTCAGGACTTACACAAAAATGGATGCAAAATAGATCATGGATTTGAATATAAAATGTAAAACTATAACAGTTTTGGAAAAGATAATATAGGAGAACATCTTCAGGATGCCAGGGTAGAAAAAGAATTGTTAGATTTGACACACAAAGCACTCGATCTGGCAGAAAAGGAAAAGGAAAAACTGATCGATTGTACTTCATAAAAACTTTTGTTCTGTAAAAGAGCTTGTTAAGGGGATGAAAAGACAAGCTATGAGTGGGAGACACTATTGGCAAACCACAATCTGACAAAGGATTAGTTTTTAGACTATACAACGACTCAACGCTCAACAGTTTTTTAAAAATCCTATTAGGAAATGGATAGAAGACATGAACACATATCTCACCAAAGAGAACCCAGGGACAGCAACAAGCTCACAAAAGATGTTCAGCGTTGCCGACTACCAGGGAAATGCAAATTAAAACATAGTGACATCAACCACATATCGCAGCACACATATTGGAATGGTGTCACAGACACCAAATGATGGCCAGGGTATGGAAAAACTGGATCACTCATATATTACTCGTCACTGGTGGAGATGTAAAATGGTACAAAGATTCTATCTAACTGTTTGGCTGTTCTTTATAAAACTAAACATGCAGGGTGGCTCAGCCAGTTCAGTGTCCAACTTTGGCTCAGGTCCTGATCTCACAGCTCGTGAGTTCAAGCCTCGCATCGGGCTCTGCACTGACAGCTTGGAGCCTGGAGTCTGCTTTAGATTCTGCGTCTCCCTTGCTCTCTGTCCTTCTTACTGCTTGTGCTCTGTCCCTCTCTCAAAAATAAAAATAAATATTAATTTTTTTTAAAAAAATGGGGCACTTGGGTAGCTCAGTTGTTTAAGCATATGATTCTTGGTTTCTGCTCAGGTCATGATCTCAAGGCTTTGCAGGCTTGAGGCCCACATCAGGCTCTGTGCTGGCAGTGGAGAGCCTACTTGGGATTCTCTCTCTCTCCCTCTCTCTCTACCCCTCCCCCACTTGCGTTGTCTCTGTCTCTCTCAAAATAAATAAATAAACTTTAAAACAAAACAAAACCAAAGCAGAAACAGAAACTAAACTTGCAACTACACATGACCCAGCAATTGTGCTTCTGGGCAATTGTGTCAGAGAGATGAAAGCTTATGTTCACACACACACAAAACCCGTATACAAATATTTCTAGCAGCTTTGTTCCTAATCACCCAAACTGGAAACAACAGTAGACATTTCCATACCGTGGAGCACAACTCAGCAAGCAAAAGGAGTGAACTACCAACACAAGCAACAGTCCAGATGAATCTCAAGGAAATTGTGCCGAGTGTAAAAAGCCAATCCCAAAGGCTCCCATACCGTTCAGTTCCATTTATATAACATTCTCAGAAAGCCAGACACAGACAGAGAGAGCACATTAGGAATTGCCAGGGATTGGAAGTAGGGGACAGGAGGGCAGGGGGTGCGGATCTCAGGAAAGCGAGAGGAATCCTTCAGGTGGGGGAAATGTTAAGTCGGATGCTTAACCGACAGAGCTACCCAGGTACACCAATCTATGTTGTAGCTTGCTCCTTCCTGGATGGAGAGGCGATGCCGGGGGGAAAAAAAAGGAAATCTAGTCAAGGTCAGTCAAGGGATCTGTGTAGGTTGAGGGGGCAGCTCCCTGACACCCACCTGGTTTTCCGAGGTGCTGTTCTCATTGCCCATGGTGATTCAGGGTGCCAGCGTCCCTCTGGATTTTACCAGAAACAACTGGAAGAAATAAAAAGGTACACACATCCATAAAACTGAAGATGGGAGGCTTTTTTTGGTCTGCCTGTCACCTCAAACTCAAAAGCCAGATGATGGGAAATGTTGATCTCTGCAGCCACATCACGGAAACTTGCTTTTGAAGGGCTTTCTTTTGCGATACACCACCCAGATGTCTTTCCCCTTCCATGCTGCTCTTCTTACTCCCCACCCCTGCGGCTGGCAGATACGTCAGAAAACTTAAGTTTTTACCGAGTCTCCAACTTAACGCCAATGTATAAACAGAGGTGTATCTACAAATGAAGTGACAGAAGGGGCCTAGTTGCCAAAGAGGGCTTGAGGAGTGTCACTGCCGGAGTGTTTCCTGTCTCTAATTGTGCTCGCTTTGGAAATCCAGACCAACGATTCCCCCATCAAGTGCCCGCAGAGCCTGGCATCGAAATCCACTTCATTCAATAACATATGTTTTTTATTTATTTATTTTTAAGTATTTATTTTTGAGATTTGGGGAGGACAGAGAGAGGCAGACTGAGGACCCAAAGTGGGCTCTGCACTGACAGCAGGCAGCCCAGCTCGGGGATGGATCTCACGAAGTGTGAGATCGGGACCCAGCGGCAGTCCGACGCTTAATCGACTGAGCCACCCAGGCGCCCCAATAACATGTGGTTTTTACACTTTTTACTCAAAGCACTTATTTCATCAAATCAGCTTTGCTTCTGCACATGTTTTATGAAGGCAGAATGGTTTTCTTGGGGAGGAGACCGGGGAACAGAGCCCAGACAAGGAATAAATAATCATGTAAAGCGATGGGCTAACAGGACAACTCTATATCCATTCCGTCAGGCTCACTTAGCGACATTGTTAATCACCGTCATCATGAGGATGCTTCCCACACGGCCCACAGAGAAGCCCAGGACAGCACCACATCGGCTGAGTTCCAGGAGACCCCCTAACATCAGCAGGACAGGGAGTCACCTTCGCTTTTTCTAGATGGAGAAACTAAGCCACTAAAAACTTGTAAAAATGATCAAACTTTCAGAACTGGAACCTTAGAGATTACCAGCCTATTCGTTTGAGGGGAGGGAGGTACTGAAACTGGAGAAGGCAAGGGGGTTTGCCAAAGACCCAGCTTGGACAAGTCAAAGCTGGAAACAGAACTCAGTGTCCTGCCTTCGAATTCAAGATTCCTTCCTCAGCAGTGTGCTATCATCGTATTTGCTCAGAAAACTTCAGTGATTGACTTGCTTCTAATAAAATTTGTCCATTGATTTTTAAAAAAAATTTTTTTAATGTTTTATTTATTTCTAGGAAAGAGAGAGAGAGAGAGAGAGCGTGAGCAGGGGAGGGTCAGAGAGAGAGGGAGTCACAGACTGAAACAGGCTCCAGGCTCTGAGCTGGCAGTCAGCACAGAGCCCGACGCGGGGCTCGAACCCACGAACCGCGAGATCATGACCTAAGCGAAAGTCGGACGCTCAACCGACTAAGCCACCCAGGCGCCCCGAAATTTGTCCATTGATTTGCTTATCCATTCAACCAACACTGATTGGGTAGCTATCGTATGCTATGCATACTGATCAGTCACTGGAAAAGAAAATTTAAGTATTTTGAGCAGCACAAATAAAATGTCCCCAAACTAAGAAAACTGTGAGTAACATCACTGTAGTGATCAATTCTATCCCTCCTAACCCTTGAGCCAAAAGGATACAATTCCTTAACCCTTTCTTGACCTTCACTGTTTATAAGACAGGGCTCTGTCTTATAAACCATATGCTCACTTATACAATGTAAACATTGTCATGTATTTAAAATTGATCACTTCAGGGTTTTTTGGGGTGTTCATTTGGAAAATGATGCTTCATTCGCAAACAGTGCTGACTGCTACAATCATTACGCCCTTATCTATTACCATCGCTTCTTATGCCCACCGGCGTAACACACATGCAGCTGGAATTTCATATGGTTCAATGTAATATGAATTTTTGAAACTCATTCAGCGGACCAAATTCAATCATTGTATTACAAATCAGAGCACTCGAACCAGCTTTTTATGCAGGTAAACAGACCAAAGACAAGGGCAGAACTACTTCTGGCTCAGTGTGCATTTCAAAACCACAGAGGGAGGGTTTGGCTGTTCCGGGAACGCTCTCCTCCCTGAGCTGTAGAAGCGCCAGCCCCTCGGGCGCCCCCAAGACCAGAAAGGAAGGCGGGTACAGCTACGCCATCTACTTACATTCGGGAAAGGTCTGTGTGCCTTGGGAGGCCGCGGGCCCACGGAAAGTCTGCCGTTCAGCAATTGGACTTTCTCCTCCTCCACTCAGAAGCAGGTGAGGCCCAAGCCGAGGCATCGACCCACCTCATCCAGTTGAACAAACAACCCGTCCCCACCCCTGACACTGACACAAACCAGCTGCGCCTCATACCTGAGCGGCGGCCGAGCGGAGCCACTGCGATCACACAAACGTGGAATCAGCGTTTCTGAGCCCATCGAGGCCACGGCCTTTCACGTAGAGGATTTTCCCCGTTATTACAGTAGCTGGGCTCCTTTCAGAGAAGGCTTATCCAGACTAAAACTGGCCCTGTGACCTGATTGGCTGCACCTAAGCGATCAGAACTGGCCTGCCCGGCAAGCAGGGAGCCACGGATCACTCGCTCGCCCTTTACGCAGTGGGGCAGGGACAACCCTTTCATTCCAAAACGGAGGAAAATGCTCACAGGGCTTCCTGTTTACACCTGGAGATTTTCCACCCTAAATAACGTGGAAACACAAAGAAAACTGTGGAAAACGATGACGCCAGCAGTCTGGCACCGGTTTATAGTGTGTTGTGTGGAGAGTGTACTTACCGAGGCGTGGCTTGACTTTCAACAAGTGAAGTCATAAAAGGCCGCAGGCTTGGCCGGGTCCCTGAGAGGCAGACCTGCCCATCAGGGCGGAAGAGGCCTGAGGCCCTTGGGTGGGACCGATGGGCATGGGCGGTTGCCCAGGGACCCTTTGGCCCAGCAGCCTCCCACCTCCCAGGGTCCCGCCAGTTATCCCCAGGCGGCCACTCTATTGTACGAATGCAGTTTCGGTTTTGTTTTTTTTCTAGCAGCGAAACCTTTCATTCTGCAGAAGCCCCTTACGCCTGTCACAAGATGCAACCCCTCCGGGGAAACAAGTTGGCATGTCCTCAAAGGCCTCCTGGAGACCAGGTGTCTTACCAAGCTCAGAAGAGTGTCAGGAGCTTCCCCGAGGGGAAAGTTGGGGGAGATCAGGGAATCTCCCGACTCTGGTTGAAACAGAGCGGAAGTGTGTGTGTTTCCACAAATGAATGCACAATCAAATTGTGGTACGTCCATACAGCGGAATATTAATCAGCCATAAAAAGGAATGGAGTTCTGACACAGATAACAATTCAGATGAACTTCAGAAATTTACCAAGTGAAAAAAGTCGGACACACAAGGTCACCTATTGTGTGAGTCCATTGATATGAAAAGTCCAGAACAGCCAAATCCAGAGGGACAGAAAGCAGACGGCTGGTTGGCAAGGGCTGGGGGGAAGGGTGAGTGACTTCTTGATGGGTTCAGGGTTTTATTTTGGTGTGATGAAAATATTTTTAGTAGAGGCGGTTGCACAGCAGTGTGAATGTGTGAAACACAACAGTTCACTTTAAAATGGTTAGTTTTACCTTATACGAATTTCACCTCATGTTTTTTTTTTTAATGTTTTTTTATTTATTTCTAGGAGAGAGAGAGACAGCATGAGCAGGGGAGGGTCAGAGAGAGAGGGAGTCACAGACTGAAACAGGCTCCAGGCTCTGAGCTGGCAGTCAGCACAGAGCCCGACGCGGGGCTCAAACCCACGAACCGCGAGATCATGACCTAAGCGAAAGTCGGACGCTTAACCGACTAAGCCACCAGACGCCCCTCACCTCATGTTTTAAAAGTATATGTGTTTCACATCTTGGGGTTCCGCACAAACTATTGTTTGAAAAAAGAATTCCACCTGGAGAGAGGCGGCATTTGAAAACTGTTATTTCTATGTTTATTAACACCAGGTTTCTGTACAATTAAGGATTGGTGGGATGAGAAACAAGAATGTTTGCCTTCTCCTTCCCCATCCCCACTCAAATCACAGGAGAATTTCTCTAGGGAAGAGAATCTTTTTAAGTGTAATATCTTGGATGGACTAATTGGAAATGAAGAGAAGTCTCTTCAACAGGGGGGTAAACATAGTGAAAGGGGGGAGGAGAGAACTGGGGACACACTCCTGAGGAGAGGGGGAGGAGGAGAAGAGAGGATGGCCGACCAAAATGGCGGAGTCATCCAACCCAGGTTGAAGGTGGGGCATGTTCAGTATTCAGTTTTCACTTGTGTACATTCAGCAGTGCAAATTCCCTCCATGAACCATCACTTCTGTCAACTCTGGAGCTTCCTGGGTGGCTGCTGATGTAACTGCTGCTGCTACCATTGGTCCCTGGGCCACCGCCATCACGACTGCTGGATACTGGGCATCGTCTCTGATCCCTGTCCCCCCACCGCTGTCTTGGCCACCTCTGGGCTCCAGAGGCTTCCAGTATCAGTGGGAACGAGAGCAAATAAATACACCAACATTTCAGCTTCCATCCCAGAAGCTGGTGCTCTTACAACGTCTTATAATTGTCTCTTATAATAAATTGCCCAGGCACAGAGGACGTGTTTAGATGTCAGGCACTATGGAATGCAGAGTGTCCACATTCCTTGGCCATGACTACGTGTCCCTAAGGCAGTACTCTACTGGGACCTCAGTATCAGTCTCCTTGACTGGCCACTGTCTACACATGACCATGGCTGATCAGATCAGCTTTCCTCCTTATGCTGTCTTCTTCTGAGCAGGGCACTAAGCAACAGACCCAACCAGATTTCCACTTCCCAGCACACATGGCTCAACACAGGTGTGTGCAGGTTCAGGCATCCATCTCCGGGATAATCTCCCTCTGGAGGCAGGGGTTGGGATTATGAACCAGACCCTGCTGCCAGACCACTCACTTGGTGTATAAACACTGGCGAGTTACTTAACTTGTGTATCCTTAGTTTTGTCATCTCTAAAATGGGAATCATAACAATACCTACCTATCATAACAATACCTACCATCATCATGGCTGTGATGAGTTAATTTCAGCAAAGCTCTCAGAATAGATTAAGCACTAAACTGCTGCCTCTTGTATTCTTATTGGCAGTGGGTTTCTGTGGAGTCTCAATAGGCAAATGCCTCAGTGGCATGAGGTTTATATTGCCTTTTTTTTATCCCTTCACTAAAACATGACTTTGGGTGCTTCTCCTTAGAAATCGGTACATCTACAATAAAAGCTCGGCTAAACTGACTTGTGCGCTAGAAGAAACAAATGGTGACTAAGATCATTTACGACATAGGCTCAATGAGAAGAAAGTAATGGTTTCAAGAATTTTTAAACAAGCCATTTATGGGGGTGCCTGGGTGGATCAGTCGGTTAAGCGATCGATTTCAGCTCAGGTCATGATCTCCCAGTCTGTGAGTTCGAGCTCTATGTCAAGCTCTACTGACAGCTCAGAGCCTGGAGCCTGCTTCCATTTCTGTCTCCCTCCCTCTCTCTCTGACCCTCCCCTGCTTGCTCTCTGTCTCTCTCGAAAATAAATATTTAAACAAATTAAAAAAAAAAAAGAAATCCTCTAAATAAGCCATTTATAATGGATTGTATTCTGGCTGATGACACACCATTCCAATCCTGTCCCCCTCTATGTGGCCATTGCTGGGTATCAGGTGTTAGTTCAGCTAGAGTATCCTATGTCCTCAGGTGAACGAATCCATGAAGTTTCTTCCACCCCCTTGTTTTTGTGTGGAGCCTAAGCAGCCAGCGAACCTTCAACTTATTCTCTTATAGATTAAATATAAAATTCATTTTATTTATTTAAAAAATTTTTTTAACATTTATTTATTTTTGAGAGACAGAGAGAGCATGAACAGGGGAGGAGCAGAGAGAGAAGGAGACAGAATCCAAAGCGGGCTCCAGGCTCTGAGCTGTCAGCACAGAGCCCAATGCTGGGCTTGGACCCACTAACTGTGAGATCGTGACCTGAGCTGAAATCGGAGGCTTAACCAACTGAGCCACCCAGGCCCCCCATAAAATTCATTTTAAAAAATAATTGTTTGGGAGGATTTTTGGTTTTTAGCTGGTATATTGGTGTCCCATCATCACAGACCCCAAACATAAGATAGGACCGCCTTTGATTCATTAATTCATTTCTCCACACATTCTATAAATACAGAGCTGTTTTGTGTACCAAGCACTGAGGTGTCCACGTTCTCTTTAATCCTCACAGCGGAGCTATGGGGTAGGTATTTTCTTTTCTTATGGGTGAACAACTGAACCCCAGAGGGATCAAGTCACATGGTCAAAGAGCAGCACAGAGGAAGAGGAAGGACGGAGTCTGGTTGGCCCCAGACCCTGCGTTCATAAGGATGTGATGCTACCAGCTTGGAAGACTTCTCTCTGCAATTCAAAGGTAACTGACAGCCTTTTTGTCTCATGTCTCTTTCTGATCATTTACTTTTCCTGCACCGTGGAGTTTTTAGCTGTTGGCGACTGGAGCCGGTTGGGTGGGTCCCAGCTGATTGGACCAGCCCTCACTGATCTGTGAACAGGGCCAGGTTTGGGAAGGTGACTTAGTGCCGTGGCTGAGACAGCCTAGCAGGGCTGGGTAGCCGGAGCGTTGCTGAGAGGAGCCAAGAGCATAAGCGGGGAGATGGAGCTGGGGCCAAGTGTGGAGGAGGGGAGATGGAAACGTGAGAACCGGCACAGCTGAGGGGTGCAGAAGCAGCATGTGGGCGGAGGACACTGCTCAGAACCGGATCGCGACGTCCAGGTTGGGCTGATGCCCTGTTTCACATGCTGCGTGCAGGGTGGGGAGCTGCAGGGAGCTGGGAAAGCAGAGACAAGATCATGCCACCCCCGTGTCGTCCACGATGACACAGAGACTCAGAGAGGTTTTGCAACTAACCTCCACCGTCCTGTGAGAAGAGCCTGTTGGAATTTGTTGATACATCCGACAGTTGTACCAAATTTTCTATTCAGGGTTTTTTATTCTCTTATTTAAACAACAACAACTGAGGCGCTGGGCGGCTCAGTCGGTTAAGCGTCCGACTTCAGCTCAAGTCATGATCTCACAGTTCGTGGGTTCGAGCCCCGCATTGGGCTCTGTGCTGACTGCTCAGAGCCTGGAGCCTGCTTCGACTTCTGTGTCTCCCTCTCTCTCTCTGCCCCTTCCCCGCTTGTGCTCTGTCTCTCTCTGTCTCAAAAATAAATAAACTATTAAAAAAATTAAAAATAAATAAATAAATAAATAAATAAAAGACCAAACTCCTTTTTGTATGTGATAGAAATGTATCTGTTTTAAAGGCTTAAGAAGTTTTGATTTTCCTTTTGTGTGGAGCATGTTGGGTTGTTAGTGATAGAAGAAACTTGGAGATCATCTCCACCCACACCCATTTCACAGATGGGAAAGCTGAGGCTGAACGGGTAGGAAATGATCTGCCCTTGTCTCCCAGCAAGCAGGGGCGGGGGCCAGATCCACACTCGGATAGGCATGCTTCTAGCAGGCAGATCCCCCTACCCCCCACCTCAGCAGGCCTCTGTGGGCTCT